ATAGCCCGACAAGACCAAGATCCTCGCGCTCCTGTGTCCTCGACACGACAGTCCGACAAAAATTCCTCCTCACGCCTTCTTCCTCCCCGACACAATTATCGTCAAGTCCTCACTCCTTTACTTTAGAGCTACGACTTAGGGGGCTCCTGTTCTAGACTGGGCTCAGGCCCAACCCAACGCTATTTGGGGAAGACCCAACAAGGCCCAAATCCCTCAGTGTCGGGCACAGTTCTAGGTCATCAGCCAACTACCCACCCTCGAAAGAGTTGGTCAACCCACCTTCCGGAGATCACGAGACGGTTGAACTAGGGCGAAGACCACGTGCTGGTCTTCACTACGCCACGTAAACCCTAGCAGTCACCTGGGTTGGGTCTAGCAATCCAGCCCAACACAAGTGACCGTTGGCCCTGCGCTGGGGTCTCTCTATAAATACCCTCTTTCACTAGAGGGTCAGGTATTCAATTCTTTACACCTCACATCTGTATTTTCTCTCACTCTGGTCTCTTACTTACTTTGGCATCAGAATGTCTTGCAGGTACACTCCTCCTCCTCCCTACTCCATTGAGCAGCTCCCAAACCAGTGACACGTGGCGGTCAATAATCTCTTCTGATCAGGTAAGATCAGTTATGATTATCATCATTATCATGTTTCCTTTTATTTTAATCATACAATAAATCAATCATGTCTTAACAAAAACTTTTTAAATTTAGCTTAAAAACATTAGAAAAATAAATACTATATACTTAATATTTAAATGGATGTTTTTTACTGAAAAAAATGTTAAAGATCAGTAAGAAAGACATGTTGCAACAAAAATTAAAAAATGAAGGATTAGAAAATGAAAATGAAGAGTTTTTAAAGAGTCTGATGAGAAATTATTTCAAATTTTGGTATTGTTATACCATTATGGGAAATTAATATTAAATTTTAAAATTTGTTTAAATGTTTTTCATTTAAAGCATTATTATTTATTTAAATATTTTTTTAAATTTTTATTTGTGTTTATTTTAAATTTTTTATGTTATTTTATTTAAAGGCACACAAAAAATTCTACTTATAAAATAAAATATTTATATACGAACACACGAAAAATCCTACTTATAAAATAAAATATTTATATACGGACACATGAAAAATTCTACTTATAAAATAAAATATCAATATTAAATACATATTTTAATAGTATATTGATGTTGTTATTGTTACTCTAATTTTTAGTTCATAATTTTTAATGTATGTATTTTTTAATGTTTTTTTATATAAAAAATAACATATAACGTAAAATTGTAAATATGATAATAAATATATTGTATAAATATTTTTATATTTGTAAAGAAGTATTATCAAATGTTTTTATGAACGTTATTATTTTTATAAACGGGAAAAAGTTTACTATTAATTCAAATATTTTTATAAATAATACCAAAATAAAAATAATTTTATATACGGAGAAAAATATTATGTTGATCTAATTATATTATACGAAAAAAATTATAAATTCTACATTTATATTATTTAAAAATAGTTTTTATATTTGAGAAAAAAATTTTATGCTGATCCAAAAATATTTATATACGAAAAAAATTATAAATTCTACATTTATATTTTTAAAAAATAATATTTATACACTAGAAAAAAATTGTTGTTCTACTTATATTTCATCTTCTACATGTATTTTTTTAAAAATAATAATTTTTTGGGGTAAATAGTTTTGTCTTTTTTATTTTATTGTTATTTTTATTACAATTTGAACACAAACGCACGTAACACACCAGTACCCATGCAAACGCACGAGTATCCCACTAGATCATCAAGTTCAAACTTAGTATATGACACATAGTATAAAAAATATATGATTGTTGATAAGTGTATATTTAATTTATATTTTAAAAAAAGCAAAGTAATTTTAAAGTTGTATAATTGATTTTTATGTGTTTGATTATTTTTTAAAATATATTAAACTAACTTAAAAATAATAATAATTTACAAATAAAATTTATATACGGGAATAAGTTTAATATTGATTAAAATATTTTTTATAAATAATATCAAATTAAAAATAATATTTATATACGAGAAAAAATATATATGATTGATTAAAATATTTTATATTCTAACACACGAAAAATTCTACTTATAAAATAAAATATTAATACTAAATACATATTTTAATAGTATATTGATGTTACTACTGTTACTCTAACTTTTAATTCATATTTTTTAATGTATGCATTTTATGTTTTTTTTAATAAAAAATAACATATAACATATAATTACAAATACAATAATAACTATATTGTACATTTAGGAAGGGGACGGGGGAAAGGGAGAGGAAGGGGACAGGGGAGACCCCCATGATCTTTGGGACCACCGTCAATGGAGACTCCACCAGAACAACCGCAATATGAGCCGGAAGTACCATCGAAACACTCGGAGTTATCAGAGCATGGAGATAATAGTAGCACCGATAGCAATCACACGGAAGAGATTCATAATGAAGTGAATCAGCCAAGAATCGAGGAAACCCTAGATCATGCAACAACCTAAGAAGAACCAAGAAAGCTATGAGTAGATTTAATCAAAAAAAACGGAAGCCTACTAACGGTATGAGTCTTGATTCATTGCACCTAAAGTTGTTAATAGGGAAATTGTTGTTGAAATTGAGGAATCGGACATTGAATTTAAGATCAAATATTGGGAATGTTCTCTCATCACGTATGTTTTAGGGGGAGAATTGAGCATGAACATAGTGAAGCAATTTATGATGAAGAACTGGAACACAGTCCAATTGCCAGAGTTGTTATACCATGATGATGGATACTTCCTCATGAGATTCAAATCCTTCAAAGAGAAAGAGGAAATTCTTATGAGACCGTACATGATCAAGAGCATGCATATGTTACTGAGGGATTGGAAGCCGAATTTTAATTTGAAGAAGGATATGCTTCGAACCTACCTTTGGAGCTATGGGAAGCTAGAAGTATGAACAAGATAGGGAGTGCCATTGGAACCCTTGTGGTAATAGATGAATGCACGACTCAGAAACTTAGAGTGTCATATGCTAGAATGCTCATTGAAGTATATGCAACACGACAAATTCCAAAAGAGATTACTATACAAAATCATGAGGGGAAGCAGGTCAAACAAGCCATTGAATATGAATGGCTTCCAAAATTCTGTGGAAAATGTCAGAAATTTGGGCATAATTGTGTTGTGAAGAAGAATAACCAACAATGGAAACTAAAAAAGATACCTGAGGTAAAACAGATGTAGAACAAGGAAGTTAAAGATCATGAGGTAAAGCATGATACTAACACCTCAGAGGAAAAACTTAACAACACTACAGAGAAAATTCCTAGAGAGGATGGCATGAGCAACAATGAAGGAGGAACAATTTGGCTAACACCTAGAGGAAGAGGTACTGATAAGGGGAAGAAGCATATGACTCAACAAGGAGCACCTAACATAAATTGTAGCAATGGTTTCACTGCTCTAGGGGAATTATAGATCCTCTAGGACATCATACCATTGACACCTGATTGTGTCATGAAATGTTATAGGGCTAAATAAGGGTGGTAAACTAAGAGAGATTAGCTCCCGTCTCTTAGATTTACACCCTGAAATTTGTATCCTTCTTGAAACTAGGGTGAAGCAGTCTAGAGCTAGCCTTATCAGAAATAAATTAAGAGTCCATGATAAATATGTAGACAACTATAGCCACCATGAAAATGGCAGAATCTGGATCAGTTGGAATGCTATGGTTGTTGACATATGTGTTAATAACTATACTAGTCAGTATATTCACTGTAGAGTTCTTGGTCCTGCAGGGAAGCTCAAATTCAGGATGACTGTGGTTTATGTCATGAATACCCTAGAGCAGAGGAGACAACTTTGGAATGATATAGCCAACTTTCCTACTCACAACAATGATACTTGGTGTATTATTAGAGATTACAATAATGTGCTCAAGAGAAAAGATAGAATTGGAGGTAGATTAGTGATTGAAAATGAGTTCAAAGATCTGCAAGATATGATGGATAAGTGTAATCTGGCTGAGATGGATAATCAAGGGAACTACTATACCTAACACAATAAGCATGCAATTGATCCTATTTACTCTAAAATTGGTAGAGTAATAGGAAATGTTGCTTGGTTCCAAAATATGAATATCCAACTGAAGCACCTTCCCCCTAGTGTTTCTGATCATGTGATTTTGCATCTGTACAACCAAAACCAAATTAGACCCAGCAGAAAGAGCTTCAAATTCAACAACTGTACTACTGAGCTTGATGGCTTTCGAGAAGTTGTTGTTAGAAGTTGGCCTGAACCAGTTATAGGCCCCTCCTCATATCCTTTGGGGAAAATTCAAAAGATTAAGGCCTATAATCAGGAGCTTGAGTAAACCATTAACTGATGTTAAGAGAACTATTATGGATGTTAGAGAGGACTTAGATAAATGGCAGTATGAATTGGCCAATGATCATATGAACTTTATCATCATTACAAAAGGTCAGGGGTAAGACATAGGAGATCATTAGGTGGCAAGATCTGGAGGAAAATGTGCTTCATCAGAAGTCTATAATTGATTGGATTAGGCTCGGAGATGGGAACAATCACTATTTCTATGCTTCCTTAAAAGCGAAAAATAACTAAAAAAAGTTGATGTGTGTGTAAAGATGATAGCACGAAGTTGAATACCAACAAAGATATTAAAGAGGAAATGCTTAATTACTATGAGAAGCTCCTGGGGAAGGGGGATAGAGTTCTCCATCAGATTGACCTTAGTGTTATGAGGGAGGGTGCCCATATCAACTATGACCAGAGACATAATTTAGTAGCTTTAGTCAATGAGAAGGAGATTTTTGATGCTTTGCATGACATAGGGGATTCCAAAGCTCTAGGATTAGATGGCTACAGTGCTAAATTTTTCAAGAGTTGCTGAAATATTGTGAAGTAGGATCTCATAAACACTATCTACTATTGGCTAAGGTATAACAAGATGTTCATGGCTTTCAATAGTACCCTTGTTACTCTTATACCTAAGAAATATGATGCAAGATACCTTAAATATTATAGACCCATTGCTTGTTGTACCATGGTTTACAAAGTTTATTCTAAAGTTTTGACAACAAGGCTTGCTAAAGTCATTGGTATTATTGTCAATCATAACCAAGCAGCCTTCATTCCTGGCCAACAGCTACATAACCATATCCTGCTGGCTTATGAGCTCATTAAAGGCTACTCTAGGAAGAATGGAACTCCCAGATGTCTTATGCAACTTGACGTGCAAAAAGCTTATGATATGCTTAATTGGAAAGCTCTAGAAACAATCCTCTTGGAGGTTGGAATTCCTGAGAAATTTGTGAAATGGATCATGAATGGTGTCACCACTGTTTCTTACAGATACAACATCAATGGTGAAAACTCCAGATTAATGAAATCTAGAAGAAGAATCAGACAGGGTGACCCCATCTCCCCCTTTCTGTTTGTTATTGTCATGGAGTATATGAGTAGATTACTCTATAAAATGCAAAGAAGCCCCACATTTAACCACTACTCCAAGTGTGAAAAGATGGAGCTCACTCATCTAACCTTTATTGATGATATTCTTTTGTTCTGTAGAGGTGACAAGGGGTATGTGGAGTTAGTGAATCATACTATGCAGCAGTTCTCCAACTCTACTGGTTTGGTGGTTAATCCATCCAAATGTAATGTGTATCTTAGAGCAGTTGATGAGGTTGAAAAGCACCACATCCTCAAGATGACTAGGTATAATGAGGGAAACTCCCTTTCAAGTATCTTGGAGTCCCTCTAACTAGTAAAAAAACTTTTTGTGAATCATTATCTTCCCCTCATTGAGAAAATTCTGCATATGGGTCATCACTGGAGTGTGAAATTGCTTAGTCATGCTGGTAGAGTGCAATTAGTGAATGTTGTGGGTTTTTCTATATCCAACTACTGGCTCCAGTGCTTCCCTATTCCTAAAGCTGTGATTGAGAAAATCCACACCGCCTGCAGGACTTTTATATGGACTGGTGGCACCTCCCCTAGCAGGAAAAGCCTAGTTGCTTGGAAAACAGTTTGTAGTCCCAAAATCAAGGGTGGTCTGAACATCTTAAACCTTGAGATTTGGAATGCAATAACCATGTTGAAGCTCTTGTGGAATATGTGTAGGAAAAGTGATTGCCTTTGGTTCAAGTGGATGCATATGTATTTCATAAAAAGCAATGATGTTTTAACAATGGAGGTGGCTAAGAGTTCCTCTTGGATTCTGAAAGGAATTATGAAGACTAGACAAATAATTCCTGATGTGCAGAGAGATATTGAAATCAAGGCTTGAGAGAGGAAAAATTTAGAATGGGGGCTGTCTACAAAGATAAGCAGAGCCAAGAAGTAAATGTCAACTGGTATGTTATAACAGTGGTAGATGTCAAATTTCACTTATTTGATCTATCAAATGTTGGCATCTTTCACTCATTTTTTGTCAAGAAAGTGTTGAAAATCACTCTTGTTTTGTTTGGTTTGCAACATTATGAGAAAATATCTTGGTATCTTTGATTTGTGTGTTATTGTGCAGGAATTAGGCATAAAACAAGTGAACAGTAACACACAAGAAATGGGCAAGGAAACCAAGACAACATGCAAACAACAGCAAGTTCGCTAGGCGAAGGGGTAGCGAAGCTCTAGCGAAGAAAACGAACCTAAGTTTGCTAGGAGAACTGTGTAGCAAAGAAAACGACCCTAAATTTGCTAGGTGAAGCTCTAGCGAACACTCCCAGACTTGAGGTAGGGGCGAAAGGACCATAAATTCTCTAGGCGAAATCAGAGCGAAGGCTTCGCTAGGTGAAGGATCTGTTCGCTAGGCGAACATGACAGATCCTGAATGTTATATTTAAGTATTTTTATTGCTTTTTAGGTTATTATTCCATTTAGTAACATTGGGTACATCATAACTTATCTCTCTTCATTTATTTTAGAGAGAGGAACACAAAACCCTAAGAGGGAGGAGGTAAGATCCTTGATCTCTTGTTGGGGTTTGGATGTAATCTTTTGATACCTTATGTATTTCATCTAATTTATGTTTGTGAACTAGTTTGGATTCTCTATTGATTGATTATCTTTGATTGCTTATTTGTGGGTCTTGACAAAACCTTTTCACATCTTTGATCTCAGATTTTCTTCTATCAATGAACAAACTTTTGACATGGTTTTGTAGTTGATATTCATTATATCCTCTTTGGTATTATGTTGATTAAGTAGCATGGGTAGTATGAGTAGGATCAATATGATATTGTGCAGGTATGTGATAATAGTGATGAAGAACGATGTTCACAACCATTTGGCAGATTAGGTGAATACATGTAAAAAAAAGGTTAAGCGTGTGTACGTATTTTGTCATTGTGTTTTATGCGAAACAATTGTTTATCCGATATGGGTATCATCCTTGTTTACCTGTTTATCTTTGATCTGAACCGTAATAGAGATATACTCTTCAGGTCTGGATCTAGGATGATTACCTGTTAAGTCCTAAATACTACAGATAGGTTTAGGCTTAGCATTTGCGTTAGTATCAGATCTTAATGCTCTGTGTTATGTTTTTGTTGGATGAGAGATCACCAATGAGACAACATGGTTGTTCTCTCGACGCTGTGTTAGAGATAAGCTTTGTCGTGGGTGATACGTAAGGGTATTAGACGAATGACTGTGTTGTGTTTAACTTGATCAGAAGAATGCATATGTTATCAATTGATGAAATCCAATCTCAACAAGGCTCCGTTTATATTTCAGTCTTTATTTTATATTTTCTGTTTTTATTTATGGTTCCTTGAACTTTTTAAACCAAATTTTTTGAACAATAAGCTTAGAAATGTAGAGGCCGTTGAACGGTGTTCATATCACACTAATCCCTGTGGAGATGACAAAATTGGGTACTTAATATTTTTTGCTTGCTGCTTTACCGCACCAACAAACAGCTCGGAATAACGCCAAACCTAGGGTTGTGTTCTGCCTTTGGCTTGCTTGCCATAGAAAATTAGCCACAAAGGAGAGATTAGCCAATTGGGGTATGATTGCTGACAGAACTTGTTGCTTCTATCAAGCCATTGAGAATATTGACTACCTGTTGTTTGATTGTACTATGACGAAGTAGATTTGGTCAAATGTTCTTCATTGGCTCTAGGTGAATCACATTTTGAGTCATTGGGAAAAGGAAATGAGATGGATTAGCAATTACTACATGGGAAAAGGCAATAAAGTTAGAGTGATGAAAATAGCATTTACTGAAATTGTCTATCATTGCTGGAACTATAAGAACAACACTTGCTTTAATAGGAACCATAACATAGATAAAGTAGAAGTTGTAAATAACATTATAGGGTTATTGTTCAGAGGGACTGGTACAATAAAAAGTAGAGGAAGTATATAGCTTTGCTTATGATGTAATTTTCATCTTGGGTGATTGGACCTCTTATGATCACCTTTGCATTCCTTGTTTTTCGAATTAATTCAATTTTTATTGATTAAAAAAAATAACTATATTGTTGATACAAATATTTTTATATATGTAAATAAGTATTACGATTCAAATATTTTTATAAATAAAGTTATTTTTATAAATGGGAAAAACTTTACTATTAATCTAAATATTTTTATAAATAATATCCAAAGCAAGAATAATATTTATATACAGAGAAAAATATTATGTTGATCCAAATATATTATACGAAAAAAATTATAAAATCTATATTCATTTTATTTAAAAATAACATTTATATACGGTGAAAAATTTTATGCTGATCTAAAAAATTTATATACGAAAAAAATTATAAATTCTACATTTATATTTTTTAAAAATAATGTTTATACACAGAATAAAATTGTTGTTCTACTTACATTTTGATTTGACCGGATCAGAAGGGGACCAAGGACTTGCCACGCGTCTTTGACTTACTGTCTGCTCACCGGTGTTGGGGAAAGGAGATGGGGTGTACCTGCAAGGCACTCTGATGCCAAAGTAAGTGTTTGGACAGAGTGACAACAAATACAGAAAAGGGTAAGAAGAGAATACCTGACCCTCTTGGAGAAGAGGGTATTTATAGATAGACCCCAGCGCAGGGCCAACGGTCATTTGAGTTAGGCTGGATGGCCAGGCCCAACCCAAGTGACTGCTAGGGCTTACGTGGCGTAGTGAAGACCAGAATGTGGTCTTCTCCCTAGTTCAACTACTCCGTGAACTCCGGAAAGTGGGTTGACCTACTCTTTCGGAGGTGGGCAGTTGGTGGATGACGTGTCCCCGCGGAAGGGTGTCGCTACTACGAAAATAAGGTGTCGGCAAAACAGAAGAGTCGCCACCTTTCGTTATTTATCCCTCAGAACGGGAAAGGAAACGATCGGAAAAACCTGACGAAAAGGTATAAGACAAGGTCATCGCAACCATGTCTGGGTTCGGGAGTCAGTTACGCAAGGGGAAGGTATTAGCACCCCTCACGTCCATCGTACTCGATGGGATCCACGCTTGTTGTGCTTATCTGACGGGTTGATTAAACTATCTACGCTAAAAGTCTGGTCTAAAGAGGAAAGAAAATTGACTCGGCAGAACACAGCAGTTCTATGCCTACGTATTCCTGTCTGGAACGAGAAATCAGAGTCAACGTAGTTCGCCTAACTACGGGTGAAAAAAAGGGGGGAAGGTTGCTTGCCGAGATATTGCATCTCGTGCCTACGTACTTTCACACGGCGTGAAAGATCAGAGCAAACGTAGTTCGGGACAAAAGGGAACACAGGTTTGTTCAACTGTTTTTTATCCGAGTAGGGTTAACAGACGGTTCTAGCAATTGGTGTATGCAGCTCGACCTTTGGAGACTTAGGTGTTACCGTTTGCGGTAGAACCGGGAGTTAACAGAACTCTCCTTACGAAAATGGTTTCCAAGGATTAAAGGTCCCAGAGGACAAAAATATGTTTGATCTTTGTTTTTTGTTTTTTTTTTATGGAAGAAGTGTTTTTTATGATTGTCTGTAGTTTGTGCAGCTCTAGAGACTATGACCTGGGAACGAATGCGTCGCATATCGTCCAAAGAACGTATACTAAACACAATAGACGATTGAGAGGAGGCCGCTCAATTATCATTACCCAAGTAGCTTAAGGCTCGTAACGCGCTTATACTAACTTGCCTTTATTACGTTTTTTACTGTTGTTTTGAGATGAGAAGAGAAAGGACGCACTAAAGGGGAACTAATCCAATCCTAAATGAAGCGTTGTGTTTTGCTTCCCAGGCATTGTGTGTTTTTGTTGACTAAGGCCCATGGTACAGCCTAATCACAACCATTCATGGAAAAAGTATTCACATCTCACGCTTCAGACTAAGACACCTCATCAAACCCTAATTCAACTCAATCTCGTCCATCAGATGCTGTGACTCAGTCAATGGAATCAACGCTCCTCCTTCGTCTTCCTAATTTGAACCTGGTACAGGAGGGAAATTACAGCCACGGTGACCAGAGAAGGGCGTCACCTTTTTCTTCGGCGAGTACAACAACACCAGACATCACAGTTCCACCAAACTTCAAGAAAATTATGTGGATCTTCTCGCCTCTTCTCACTGGTTAATAATATCCACTCTATTTCTATTAATTCTCCATGGATCTTGAAAAACGATGATGAACAGAAAATCACTCCCTTCCATAATTGTCACGAAACTCAAAATTATTTATACAGCAATGATCCTCATTCTTTAGAGATCAAGAATCCCTAATTCATTCATGCTAATTCTCAAGGATCACCTAGATATGAATCTCAATAGAAAATTCATCACATCT